GGGCGTGGGGGCGGCGGCGGCGGCTTTCGGGTGACAGCGCCACACAAAGCAGCCGAGCCGGGGTGCGAGCCTTCCTCCTGCCCTCAGGAGCGCCCATCGCCCCGGTAGGAGGCAGCTGGGGTCCCAGGAGCGGATCCGTCGCGCCGCCCGCGATGGGAAGGGGAGCGGGGTGGGGATCCCTGTGGGGGTAGGGGGGTTCCAGGGCCACGCTGTTGGGGTACCGGGCGCCCTGACCCCCTGCAGGTTTCCTTTTGCTCGGCGGTGCCTGCGCCCGCGACTCCCGCATCCCTCGGCGCAAAGTCGAGCCCGGGGCGGCTGCTGCGCCCGCCGGGGAGCGTCGCGGCCCCCTTGTGGGGTTGTCACAGCCGGCTCCCCCGGTGGTCCCAGTCCCGAGAGCCGGAGTCCGCTGCGCCCCGCAGGTGCGGCGGCGAGGTGGGCGCCCGCTTACGGGAGCACCGGCCCGCGTCCTGGCGGCTGGCGGTGAGACGGGGAGACAGGGCCAGGCCCAGCTGGACAAAGTTGGGGTTCAGCGATCGGGAACCCAGCCAGATAGAGGCCCACTCTGCCCCCGGGTGAGTTTGCTGGGCTCTGTGGGCCACTCTGGTTGGGGAAGGGATCCACTATATATACACACAGCTCCTCACTTCGGTTGCCGATTTTTATTTTGTTGTTAAATATTTTAGCAGAAAAAAAGCAGGTGAGGGGAGGGATATTTTCTTTGGGAGGGGGGTAAGACAACCACCATCAATAATTAATTGTCTTCCAGGCAGAGAACGTAATCAGCAGAAGACGTGCAAGCACTTGAGGAGTCAGTACTGAATTATTGAACTGGATTTTGAAGATTGAATAATTCAGTATTGAGTTACTGTACTGAGTCCATATTTCTGCAAATTTGATTAGCGTGGGAATGATAGGAAGCTAGTTTTGACCTATTTTAAATGGTGCTGTGAGAAATGTCCGTCTTTGAAGAAGTTTCTACTAGTTTGTCCAATTTTTAGAAATTACGTTGACTGTACTGTACATGTTCTAACCTGGAACCCTTTTGACTCATGTTTCCATGAATTTTGTGTTTTAAAAAACTCTTCTTGAAGCCAAGTGTGGTGGCACATGCCTGTAAATCACAGCATTCTGGGAGGCTGAGGCTGGAGGATCTCAAGTTCCAGCCCAGTGTGGGCAACTTAGTGAGACCCTCCTTCAGAATGTAGCAAGGGCTGGGGCTGTAACTCATTGTGAAGGACCCAGTTGTATCCCCAGTACTGGAAAAAAAATGAAAACAAAAACCTGGGATTGTTTAAATATAGATCTATATATTGATATTTCTACTTACATATTTACAAAAACATACCCCACTTTTTCTTACATTAAAATCAAAGTTATGCATTTAAAATTAGGAAGAAATCTGCATATAAAAATTGCATGTGAAATAAAATAAAATGATTATATGTAATTGTCTTACCTGAAGAATCAAGTGGGGAAACATTCAGCATACTGGTTTAATTACAGCTTAGTTAGTATTTTTAAAGTTGTATTTAAAAGCACAACAGTTTTAGTCCTCCCAGCTTCACTTAAATTCTTTCTTTGCTTCAAGACATAACTACCCACCAACAGTGGAAATACAGAGATTAAAATAAGTGCCCCAAATGGCAGTACATATCTCAGTTACATTATTAAGGTGAAAAAACTTCACATTTCATAATGGCTTTAATAGCTTGTTTTCATTTCCTCTTTAACCACTTTTTTTTTTTTGAGACAGAGTCTTGCTGTGTAGTTCACCCTGGCCTTCAACTTACTATGTAGTCCACGCTGGCCTTGAATTCACAGCAGTCCTCCTGCCTCAGCCTCCTAAGTGCTGGGATTACAGGTGTGCATCACCACACCTGGTGTATTTATTTTGATACTGAGGATTGAATCCAGGGCCTCAGGTATGCTAATCTCGTTCTTTACCACAGTGCTGCAGACTGCAGAGTATGCCCCAATTCCTACTGAGTTACCTACTAACTTTGCTCTGGGCTGTTGGAAACATTAGCATATGCTGATACTTAATGGTGTAATTTTTTTTTTTTAGGCCTCTAGTACAATGGCAGCCCCTCGAGGGAGGTCAAAGAAAAGAGCAGCGTTTGACCTAACTCCAGATAGCCTTCCTTTGAGGAGCTCCGGTAGGCAGGTATTATTCATTTGTTCACTCAACAAACCTTTTTTGAGTCTATATACAGTCGGGTCTGAAGAATAAGAGAGGGGAAGACGTCACTCCAGGCCTCAAATCAATCGCGTGGAGAAATCGCAATATTTCATAACACTGTGATAAAGTGATAGGATGTAGAAAACAGTTGCCAGTCTGGCTAAGAGGGCTTTTGTGAGGGTAAAGGCCTGGTGTGAATCAGCACGGGGTGATCCAGGAATTGCAGCAGTGCTGTTGCTTCCAGGGTAGGAGGCCCGGGCCAGATCCTGCTCAGCTTGGACGTTATTCAGAGCACCTTGGACCTCAGCGCAGAGTTGCTTGGGTGCAGCTAGAGGTCTACCTGTAAGGCTTTGCTCTTTCTTTTCCTTGGGTACAGTGTTTGTCTGCTTAAGAGAAAAATTGAACGGCGTAACTCTTTTTCTAGTTTTTTAAATCTGTGTACTGCAAGGGTTCTGAGGAAAGAAAGAAGAAATTCTTAATTTGAGAGTGACTTTTGTGGGTTCTGATGTCACTCTTTGCTTAGAAAGGTTCATGTGGATTTGCGTCGTTAGGGTCTTGTGCTAGTGAATTACTTGCACAGTGCAGTCGTGTAGAACTTGCTGGGTCACTCAGCTCCTGCTTTGCCAGGATGTTGACCTTCATATTTAGAGCTTCTGACACAATCCAGTGTGATGGTACATGCTCATAGTTCCAGTGCTCTGGGAGGCCGAGACAGGAAGAGTACAAGTTGGAACTCAACCTGGGTAGTTGAGCAAGACCCTGTCTAAATAAATAGATAGACAGATTGACGGACTGGGAATGTAGCTTAATGAAAAGGTCCTGGGTCCCATACCCAGTGTTGCAAGAATAAAATAAAAAACTTTAACACATACATGATTTTAGTAAATCTCCCTCTGCCATTGCCTCTGTCAGTCCCATAAAATCTTAACCTCAGCTGGTTCTTCCACAGGCAAAGAAGAAAGTAACAGAGACAGTGGATGAGGACGAAGATGTTGTGTCTGAGAAGAAATACCGGAAATGTGAAAAGGCGGGCTGTACAGCAGCATGTCCTGTGTGCTTTGCAAGTGCTTCAGAAAGGTCTGTCTGGCAGGGAGGGGGTTGGCCTTGCATTCTGTCCGTGAGAGCACATTAGGTAGGCAAATCAACTGTGAAGATAGTTTTCCTAAAGGTAGAAGTAGATACTGTACTTTGTCTAGTAATAGAGACATTGCTCAGACATCTGCTGCTCACCACAGCCTCCTCGACACACCCGGTTACACCTACTCTACAGAGAGAGGCCACGCCCGTATTAATTCTGCAGTACAGCATCCTCCAGTGTGGCCAACCTTGGCTGCACCTGTCCCGGAGGCTGACACGGTTGAAAGGACTCTCACGCTCCAGTAGAGACCAGCACTGTTTACTTTTCACTTTTTACTGTAATTCTTTTCTCCTTCCTCGTGTAAGATGACTCTTTTTCCTGTATCCATACACAGGGCTCATAGAAACTGCATATGTAACTGCAGTCTTGCCATTTTTGTTGGGATGGAACAAATAATGTCCTTTTTAACTTGTGCAGAAAAGTCATCAGTGGGCCAGGGATATAGCTCAGTGGCATAAGCACCTGGCTGGTGAAAGCAGGGTTCTGAGTTCGATCCCTGGTACCAAAAACAAGAGAAGTTGGAAATGTTGGAAAGATGTGTGAGAAAAGTCATCAGTGTAGTCTTAAGACTCAAGAAAACCTGGGAAACAAATCCTGTTGTTTTTAAGCACAGAGAGATAGTGGTGGTGGTGATGTTCCCACTGGGGTGGTTTTTCATACCCTTGCAGTATTACCAGCTGTTTGACAGGTCAGGTTGCTCTACTGCCTGCTGGATGTTCAGAGTGCAGGTGGCCAGACCCATGACTCCCCAGTACTGGGCCAGTGTTACAGCTGAAATCTTCTGTCCTTCATGCACATGTGACTTGGAGCAAATGCAGTGACGTCATTGCTTCATGTCATAAAATACCATCAAAGCTCCAGGGCATCTCGGCAAGACTCCTAAGAGCCAGGCAGCCAGCTAGGTTAAGTACCACTGGTGCATTTCTCTGTATCCTCAATCTGTTCTACATGTTGAGCTTCTCCAATCTGAAATCCAAAGCACTTGAAATCCAAAATGTGTGGGGTGTTAGCGTGATGTGACACTTAAAGTGGTAACTTTGTGATGGGCCTAAGTCTTAAAGTGTAGGTGCCATAAAAATTTGTACATAACATGACCTTTGGTACATAGGAAACAAATGAATTTTGTGTTTAGACTTCGGTCGCATCGCCAAAATATCGCATTATGTACATGTAGATATTCCAGAATCCAGGCATCTGAAATCCAAAACACTCTGGTCTCGTGCATTTTAGATAAGAGATACTCAGCCTGTGTTCTCCATTGTTTATGCGCCCCGGGTCCCCCATTGTTGGCCCATGGCTGTGGGAATGATGAGTGGAGATAAAGGAAAATGGGCTTAGAGGACATGCTGCTAATTTTTTTTAAGTGAAAAGAAATATTTATTCTTTACCAAAGCTACATGTTTTTGCAATTTTCAGATGTGCCAAAAATGGCTACACATCCCGATGGTATCACCTTTCCTGTGGGGAACATTTCTGCAACGAATGCTTTGACCATTACTACAGAAGGTTTGTTTGCTAGTGTTGGGGGTGCCTGGTGGGGCACGGCGGGATCAGATGGTTAAGGCTTGTTCCCTAGGCTTTCTGAACTATTGTGCTGTTTCAGCTGTGGCTACAGTCACTGTAACTGTGACCAGGACCTCGATGCTGAAGTTCAGGCATGTGCATGGTTATGCGTGCACACACTCAGGGTGTGAAAGATGTCTCCCATGGGACAGTTTGCTCCCTGCAGTCTTCAGTTTCTGGGAGATCTGGAAGCTGCTGTGACAGTGCCTGGGGTCGGGATGCAGAAATAGGGAGCAGGGGTGCCGACACTCACCTAGTGGTCTTTTCTTATCTTTTGTTTTTACCCTTTTCAGTTGTCTTGATTGGTGGCATAGAAGTATAATTGATTTTTTTCAAAGAATCAGATTTTGGTTTTAGTTTTTGTTTCAATTTCATTACACTCTGATTTTTATTTACTTTCTTCTGCTTGCGTCAGATTTCTCCTTTAGTTCCTTAAGTTGGAAGGTTAAGTTTATTGATTTTTTTATCTTCTTTAAGTAAATACATTCAGTACTCTAATTTTCCCCCTAAGTACTGATTTAGCTATACAGTATTCCACAAATTCTGCTTTTATTATTTTCTTTTTGTACATGATGTTTTTTAATCTTCCTTAAGTCTTTTGCTTTGATCTAAGGTCATTTAAAGTAAGTTGTTTAATTTACAGCTGCCTTTTATGTGTTTCTATTATTCATGTTTTAAGTGATTATTTTTATAGTTGGATTAAAATATATCTTCTTTCTGTTTTCTGTATGGTACAATCTTCTCTTTGTCCCCATTATGTTTTTATTTGCCTTTTCTGATTTTAATTGAGCATTTTATAATTGTAATTATTTCATCTACTGGTAGAATTTTTAATGACTGCCTGAGGATTTACAGTGTGCATTCAAAAATACTCAAACTCTTCCTTCAAATAATACTGTAACTTGGCTGTTAGTTTTAGGCACCAGAACTGCCAAGTGCACCCCCTGACAGCCTGCTGTGTGGAGGTCATAGCATTTCCCTCCTTGTAACAAGGGTAGCGAAGTTCTGTAAGACCTACCAACTTGCCTCGTGTTTTGAAAACCTGATTACTTTACAGCTTGGTGCATTTGTTTCTGTTGTTTTCAGCCATAAAGATGGATATGACAAATATATTACATGGAAAAAAATTTGGACCAGCAACGGCAAAACAGAACCCAGCCCCAAAGCGTTTATGGCCGACCAGCAGCTCCCTTACTGGGTAAGAAAAATGGTGCTGTGTTCTTCTGTGAGACATGTGTGAAGCTAACAGCAAGAGGAATGGGGGAAGATACTGGTTTAGTGGAAGTCCTTCTTTGTTACATTCACTGTTCTTTTTATAATTGTTAAAACAAATAACATTTAAAAAAAGTTTTTGTAGACAGCTTAGTTAATCTGGTAATGGTGGTGCATGCCTATAATTCCAGTACTCGGAAAGCTGAGGCAGGAGAGTCACTGTGAATTCGAGTCCAACCTGGGCTGCATAGTGAGTCCAGGCCAGTCAGCACGACATTGCGAGAGCCTGTCTTAAAAAAAAAAAAAAAACAACTTAGTTCAAGACAATATAGGAAGAAACAGAAGACTCACTGCCAGCTAGTGATTGCCATTGCTGAGCGTGGTAACATACACTTCTCTGTATTTTTGTGTCCATTGAAACAATTTTGTGTTTTATATACAAATCTTTACTAGGTTTAAAAATCGTACTTAGGATATTATTTTTAATAACTTCGTTTTTAATCCAATTTTGTATTTTCATTTTTTTACTTAGGCATTCTTTGAAAATATATTTTAGTGGTTGTATATGTCATAAATATACCACCAATTAAATGATTTATTGACTTTTTAAGTATAACTATTTCTGAGCTGCTCAGTGCACACTTTAATTTTTTTAATTGAAATAAAAGTCACAAAACATAAAATGAACCATGTTGGTGTATACTTCTTTATTTATGTATGTATGTAGTTCTATTGTTGAGCTACACCCCAATACCTAAAATTATCTGGGATGTATAATTCCATGTCATTTACTGTGTTTGCAGTGTTATTCAACACTACCTGTGTTTCATTCCAAAGTGTATACCCATGCAGCAGTTACTCACCCTCCAGTCCATAGTGACTGCTAATCTGCTTTCTTCTCTTTATGGATTTCACATATTTTGGATGTTTCATATAAATGGAATCATGAGGGTTGGGGGACATAGCTCAGTGGTGCAAGGCCTGCCTGGCAGCATGAGATCATGAGTTTGATTCCCAGTACCAAATAAATAAATAAATAAATGGAATCATGAGCCAGGCATGATAGAGCACACCTGTAATCCCAGCACTTGGGAGGCTGAAGCAGGAGGATCACCATGAATTTGAGGCCAGCCTGGGCTAGACAGTGAGTTTAAGGCTAGCCTGAACTATATAGCAAGACCCTGTCTCAGAAAACAAAAAAAGACAAGACATTTTATTAAAAACCCCAATATAAATGGAGTCATGCTGTGTGGCTTTGTGTTTTTTTCCACTTAGTGTAATGTATTTCGAGGTTCAGTTCTGTTGCAGCTTACATCACTATTTCACTGGTTTTTTTAAAATAGGTAAGTAATATTCCACTGGAATGCTATGCCTCATTTTGTTTATCCATTCATCTTTTGATAGACATTTGAGTTATTTCAACCTTTTAGCTATTACGAATAGTACTGCTATGAACATTCATCCGTGAATGTTTGTTTGAATGCCTGTTTACAATTCTTTTAGTTCTGTATACATAGGAATGGAATCGCTGGGTCACATGAGAATTGTGTCTACCCTTTGAAGACCTCCACACACCGCTTCTGTAGCTACTGCATCGTTTTCATTCCCATCTTCAGTGTGGGAGGGTTCAGATTTCTCCACTTCCTCCCCAGTTCTTCCTTTTGTTTTTTATGCTAGCCATCTGAGTGGGTACAAAGTGGTGCCTCACTTTCGTTTTGGTTTGCATTTCCCTAACTACTGCTGAATGCACCTTTTCCTATGCTGTTGGTCATTTGTCTATCCTCTTCAGAGCAGTGTCTGTTTAGGTCCTTTGCTAATTTTTACTTTGAGTTGTTTGCCTTGTTTGTTTTTGAGTTGTAAGAGTTCTTTATATATTCTAGGCACTAACCCCTTATCAGATCTGTGATTTGCAAACTTTTTTTCTATAAGTTGGCTTTTCACTTTGTTAGTACTCTTTGATGCTGAAAGTTTTAAATTTAAAAAAAAGAAAGTTTTAAATTTTGATAAAGTTAAATTTAGCTTTTTTTTTTCTTTGTGCTTTTGGTTTTTGGTTTTTTTTTTTTGTACTAGGAATCGAACTCAGTATCTTGCATTTGCCAGGCAGGCGCTTGTGGTGCTGAGCTTTGTCCCTAGCCCTGTTTGTGCTTTTGGCATAATAACTGAGCACCTTCTGTTCAATCTAAGGTCATAAAAACATATCCCTGTGTTCCAAGAGTTGTATTATTTTAGCTTTTACCTTTAGGTGTTTAATCCATTTTGAGTTAATTTTTCTATGGTTGTGAAATCAATCTGAGTTCATTTTTCTACATATGGATATCTACACTTTTTGAAAATAAACTTTTGGGCCAGGGATATAGCTCAGGGGCACAAGTGCCTGCCTGGCAAACACAAGGTCCTGAGTTCAATTCCTGGTACCAAAAAAAAAAAACCAAACTTTTAAATTTTGAATAGTTTAACATGTACAGAAAGTTGCAAAGGTAGCAGAGAGTTTACATATATCCTTTACACCGTGTCCTCTAATTAATTATCATACATTTGCCACTATTATGTGTCAAACTGAGAAATTAACAGATGGCAGAGTGAGCGACGGAGGATAGAAATGGTAGCTGAAGTTTAGCCGACCTACTGATGTTGACTTACTTCCCTTCTAGGTGCAGTGTACAAAACCCGAGTGTAGGAAATGGAGGCAGCTTACTAAGGAAATCCATCTTACTCCACGGATAGCGAAGACTTACCGGTGTGGTATGAAACCAAATACTATGAAGGTATCCTTTCCACCGCATTCCTTTAGAACTCATCAATACACTGATTTAGTTGTCAGCATATAGTAACGGTGTGTTTTTCATTTCTGTGCATTAATCAGTGTTGCGGGGGTCTGCATGGAATAGAGCCCCAGCCAGAGTGGGCAAACCACTTATGGGTTTACTTTTCTGCTCTTCCAAGCAGTTTGGAAATAGACTGTTGCCCATTAATTTAGCTCCCCAAAGAAATCTCCTAGTTTTTAGCCCAGCTATCTAATTTAGTTTATCTTCTGTCTTCAGGTTCACCCGGTGGTTGCTGTATTACCAGCAACTGTGTCCAAACTCTAATTAGAAGAGAGGGAAAAGACAGAGGGCAAAGGAGTTGTGCCAGCCAGCCTGTCCCTCTTTTAGTGCAAAAAGAGGAGCAGTCTTAGCAGTTCAGATTTCTGTTTATGCTTCACTAAGTAGAACAGAATCGTACAGCTACTCTGGACGGTAGGCAGGACAAAGGAAGGAAATATTTTATAACTGAGTGTGTTGCAACACCTCAAAAAAGCATATCTTGTTAGTAAGGAAGAAGAGATGAGCAGATGCATTTGGCCATTAGGAATTAGCCGTAGTGGGTATAATGTGCTGCTTTTGAAATTTGGCAATTAGTGTTTAAAAATATATAATTAAGCTAGTATGTTAGAGGCATTAATCTACCCGAACGTCACTCATTCTTTGAGTACATTAAAAAATATTAGAAATCAAATCCCAGAAGAAAAATACTTTTTTTTTTTTTAAATTGAGGGATGATATACATATCATAAAATCCACCTTTTAAAATTATACAATCCCATGGTTTATAGTCTGTGTACAAAGATATATAATCATTATGAGAAAAATACTTTCAGTTCAAATATTTCCTTTTATACAACAAACGGGAACTTGGAGTTTTAAATAAAGCAACACATAATTATTATTAAAAATAAATTTGGAGACCTGGGAGTGCAGCTCAGTGGTAGAGCCCTTGCCAAGCATGCTTAAGGCCCTGGGCTCAATCCCCACACTGGAAAAAAAAAAAAAAATTTGCAGAATGAGGATGAGTTTGAACACAAGTAAATTTTAGATTGTGTTACATTAATATGATCTTAAGATTTAAGAAGTTGACTATATGTGTGTATTTATAAATATACATACACGACATACAGTATACCAATAAAAATTGAAAGTTCTTCTTAACCTTTTCTTGCTGTTTTAAGAAGGAAATTCTTCACGTCTATAATCCCAGTACTCAGGAGGCTGAGGCAGGAGGATCACTGTGAGTTTGAGGCTAGCCTGGGCTACAAAGTGAGTTCAAGGCCAACCTGAACTACACAGCGAAACCCTGTCTCAAAAAAGACCAAAAAAAAAGGAAATTCTTAATGAGTCATGTGTTCTACAAAACTTTTTTTCCTGGTGCTGGGGACTGAACTCATGGCGTTTCTCATGCTAGGAAAGAAGTTTACCACTGAGGTACTCCCTATCTCCTAACAGAAGTGCATTTAATTACATATTTATGATAGGCACAAATAGCCAAACTACTTTTTAAACATGTAAAGAGCTGTGATTCGGGGTGATCATTACATCAGGACTTTCTTGCATTGAGTGATACTATTTTTAATAGATGCAAAGTTGCATCTTTTTACTTTTGAGGTGTGGTTCCATACAGCAGTTACATGCAGGGGTCATACAGGCATTTCCTTGAGTTGTGGGAAACGTCCACAGCGTGTGCACCACGTTCCCATCCCTGACGAGGACCAGGTCTTTCTTCCCCTCCTCCCAGAGGCAGCTGCTATTCTGAGTTCTATCCCTGTAGATGGATTTTTCAGGTCCTTGCCCTTCATAAAAGTGGAATCAGCTGATACATGGTCTTTAGTGTTTGGTTTCTTTCCCTGAGTAGAATTGTGTTTGGAATTCGTCCATGTCATTCCTATACATGTGACACACACACACACACACACACACGTGACAAATTGTTTAACCATTCTCATGTTAAAGGACATTTTTATTTAACCAGTCTCATCTTAAAGGACATTTGTGTTGTTTTACTTTGGTATATGAATGAAATTATAGTCCACATTCTGTGCAAGTTTTTTGTGGACCTTCATTTTAATTTCTTTTCTTTTTCATTTTTTGAGATAGCGTCTCGCTGTGTAGCCAGGCTGGCCTCGAACTCACAGCAGTCCTCTTGCCTCAGCCTCCCGAGTGCTGAGATTACAGACATGGGCCACCACGCCCAGTTTCTATTTTAATTTCTTAGCAGTAAATATATAGGAGCAGAATTGCTTAGTTGTGTAGTAAATTTATATTTGATGTTCAAGAAACTGCGAAGTGGTATCCTCTGATTGCTGCGTCATACTGCAGACTTTGGTGGCGGCATCTTTCGCAGCTGTTTCGTGTTGTTGGCATAGTGGGTGTGCTCCGACGCCTGTGGTATTAGTTTCCGGTTTCCTGATAACTAGTGATGTGTGGAGTATCTGTTCATGTTTATTGCCATTGACAGTTCCTCTTTGGAAATTATCTGTCTGTTTAAAAAAGTGAGTCTGTATTTCTGACAGGTAGGAGTTCCTTATAAGGTTATAAATGTGTACGTGTAATTTGTATATTTTCGCAGTCTGTGTATAGCCTTGCCATTTTCTTCATTGGTCTTTTGATGAGCAAGAATTTTTAGTTTTAGAGCCCAAATTACCCAGTTTTTCATTTATGCTTAGAACTTTTCTTAGAAGCCATTGTCTACTTTCCACCTTGCAGATACATTGTGTTTTCTTTGAGGCACGTTACAGTTTTAGCCTTTGCATGTAGGTCAGTAATCTTATCTTGAGTTAATACCATATTTGGCTTTTGATGTGAAGAACAGGAAAAAATTCATTTTTTTCCATGTAGATGTATTCATTCAGTGTTACCTGTTGAAAAGATTATTCTTTTCTCCACTAGTCTTTTACTATTATAAAAAAATCAGTTGACTGTATGTATAGGTCTGTTTGTGGACTTTATTACACTGACCTCTTTCTTTAGCTGTATTCTAAGCTGCATTGTCTTGCTTGTTGTATCATTATTACATCTCAAAATCAGGTGGTGTAAGTTCTTCCAGTGCTGTTTGTCTTTTCAGGATTGTTTTGACTGTTCTGTGTTTCCATCTCCATTTTATTATCAGCGTGCCAGGATCTACTTAAACTCCTCCGGGATGTTGGTTGGAAGGTAGTGTTGAGTTTACAGGTCATTTGTAGGAGACTTGACATCTTTGCATTTTTAGTCTTCTACCCTGGTGTCACCAAATGACATCTGATGGGCCCAATCTGGCCTTGCCCCTGTTTTTGTAGATAAAATGTTATTAGAATACAACCGTGTGTCCTTAGCAGCCTGCGTGTGACAGTGGCAGAGTAGTTGTGATGGAGACCATATGGTATGCAAGGTTTAAGGTACTTACCCTTTCCAGAAAACATTTCCCAGGATTCTTTCAGCATCCAACCGCATTTTGTGCTTTTCACTGAGGATGTCATTTTGTATTTTATTATATTTGTTTCTAGATATTTTTTCTGTAACTGTAAGTAGAATTTTATTTAATGTCAAGTTGTTCGTTGAAGTTATAGAGAAATTCACTTCACTTCTGTACTCTTACACCAGGGACTATTTTGGCCTCACTTACTAAATTTCATAAATCTTGTAGATTTGTTTGGGTTGTCTACAAACCAATCATTTCAACTGTGAGTAAAGCTTTCTTTTCTCATGTTTAATTTCTTTCTTTGCCTTGCTGCCTGGGGCAGGACCCCAGCCGCATGGCGGAGGCGGCTGTTTTCTCGCTCCTGACCGAAGGGACGTGTTCAGTCCTGTGTTTAATATGTGTAATGTTGACTGTAGCTTTTTGTAGATGACTTTTTTCTGGTTGCAGAAGTTTCTTTGTTTTCCTTCTTTGCCTAAAACTTTTATCATGAATGGTTGTTGAATTTTATCATGTTTTGGTCATGTGGTTTTATTCCTTCAATTTGCTAATGTGAGTTACATTGATTTTGAAATGTTGAAACAGCCGTGCATTCCCAGAAAAAATATTCCACTTTTTCCCAGTGTGCTATCTTTTCTTTTTTGGTCCTTTTGAGTCAGGGTCTGTCTAGGTAGTGCAGGGTGGCCTTGAACTAAGCCCATGCTGGCCTCAGATTTGCCGTGACCCTCCTGCCTCAGCATTCTGAGTGCTGGGATTACAGGCATGTGCACTCATGCCTGGCTTATCCTTTTTCTACACTGCTGGATTTTATGACATTTTGTTATGCTTTCTTGCATGTGTGTTCTTGATGAATGTTACCTGGCACCTTTCCTACAATATCCTTGTCAGATTCTGTTATCAGAGCTGTGCTGGCTTCATAAAAATTAATGGGGAAATGTATTTTTCTTTGTATTTTGTCAAATAATTTGTTTTATAAAGTTGATGTTAGTTTTTTAAGTGTTTGTTTCACTTTACTGGTCAAGCACTTTGAGCCAGTAGTTATCTTTATCAGAAGTTCAGAAATTACAGATTCAGTTTCTTTAACAGACCTATGGTAATGTAGATAGTTTATGAGTTCCGTCCGTTTTGGAAGGTTTTTCAAGGAACTTGCGGTTTTTATCTGTATTGTGAAATTTATTGACATTATTTGTACTTCCCACATTCTCCTTTTAAAGCCAGTGGACTCTGTGGTGGTAGCCCTGTGTCTCTTACTCCTTTTTGTTTTGAGTACTAAGGCTTGAACCCTGGGTGAGCAGCACCCCTACCCTCCTTTTCCAATTAATTAATTAGTTTGTTTACTTTTGTGGTACTAGAGATCAGACCCATGAATGATCTGCCCCTGAGCAGCATCCCAGTCCCTTTCATTTTTTTTATTTTGAGGCAAAGTCCAAGTTGCCTCAATTCCCCAGTGGGAAATGAACTTGCAATTCCCCGCTCAGTCTCCCAAGTGCTGGGGTTCCAGGTGTTTTCCACCACGTCTGGCACCGTCTTTTGTTCTTGATGTTGGCAATTTGGCAGTGAA